TGGAGCATCATGATAATATGGTACAAATGCTATTAATTCACTTTGCAGTTTCGTCACTGCATTCCCGTGATTTGAAATAGCTCTTTGAAGCTGAGATATTTTATCTATACAGTACTGGTTGTTCACGGTATCGTCACGGGTTTTTGTCTTTTTCACTATCTCGTGCGCCCAGTGTTTATCTTCCATGCCTATTTCCAAGAGTTTCTCAATTACTTGGTATTCATAATTGTCTCGGATCCCGGCATCGTATATTGGTGCTGAAATAGTGACAAAACGGTTTATATGTCGAGCTGTCGGACCGATGTCAGTGAGTTTAGATAGACTTTACAAATACCATCGAATATGATCTGCCCTCGGATAAGGCCGATCTCTATATTCTTTAGGTTTTTGCTCGGAATCTAGAGCACTGGTGTCATCGTTTGAAACTAATGAGACTGGTTTCTTTGCTTGTGCTTCTGCCTTTTTATTTTTTTGTTTTTTCGGTACTGCCTTTTTATTACTTTTTGCAGTCGATGTTGTAGCCGCTGTGCATTCGTCAAGCGGTATTTCGTCATTCTCGTCTTGGTCGAGAAAACAGGCGAAACGGTTGTCGACTGGTAGAGCATCGACTTGATTACTTAATTGGTTAGCTGCTCGCTCTTCGCGATCGCGCCTCGCTCGATTTAAACGAGTGCGTCGCTGTCGTTGATGTGGTGTTAGAACAGCACCGCCTTGTCGGTTGACAGATCCATTGAAATATGGATCATTAAAACTGACGAAGGACTGCTGCTGTCGCCGCCACGGTCTCTCATTAGAATTTCTTTCATATGTTTGACCGTTATTTCTTGGCACGAACGGTCGATAAGGTCGACTATTCTGCCGTTGTACATTGTCATATCTTGTCCATTGGTCAATTAGAATTGCCTATTTTGAACCTGCCCATTTTCTTGTACCATTGGTCTCTGCTTATTTGTAAAACCCCCTGAGGTTGGCTGTCTAGACTGGTATGGTCTTTGATCAGCTCCTCTTTGAGGTAAATAGTTATGACCAGGAATAAAATCACCTAGCATTGGTTGCTGAGGCAGATATTGCCTTCGTTCAACCCCACGCCGAGGTAATTGATTCTGATTATTTTCATATATTGGCAATTGTCCTTGAAAGACTGGTTGCCGTGGGACAAATTGCTGTTGTTCTTGTTGTGGGATGTGTTGTTGTTGATCAACACCATTAATATCTCCATGACTTCTCTGGTGGAGTGGTTGTTGAGCTGTTGTTAGCATCTCTCTCTTTTACTCTATTACCAGTGGTAATAATGATTGATAACAGCTGACGTTTTGGTTAAAGGATTAAGATACTTGGTGAATAACAAACAGAAACTGTTACTAGACGCGTTTCTGACTGCTATTAGCAGAGATAGAGAGTGATACGAGAACAAGTGCCTTGGCTTAAGACTCCTTGAACCCAACTTAAAACTTTAATTTATACGGTTGAATGTTTTTTGTATAAAAAACGCTTCAACTATTTTTTGTATTTTATATATAAGTATATATATATGCTTGCTTATATAATTGTTCCTGGTGTCATAAAAAATAAAAATTTTGTTTATTGCGCCACGTTTCGTTTTATTTAAAAATAAAACTCATCAGGCAATTATTTTAATCTAGAACACACACGAAAAAATAAAATAAAGAAATAAAAAATAGTAAAGGAAAAACTTAAAAAGCAGATAGACACACACACACACACAAAAAGGTTTAATATGGGCTCTACGTCCAACTAGTTTCCACCGAGACGCCCCATGTCGTCTGCCGAATCCTTGATGTGGTACCTAAGCCGATGTCGTATAGACTATGTATTTTTTGTAGCCGTTGCACGGTTGTGAGACAATAACAGTGAGTGATTGGTTTCTTTATTTTATTAACCTGACCGGTTTCGAATTCTTCTTCAGAGGTTAACAAAAAACTGTATGAAATTAAAAGGAAGGTCTCTTCTTTTATATATGCAAAAGAATATTTTTATACGTCGATATAAACTAGATAAAAAATGATGTAATTGAATGGAATGTCTTTCGATGTTTTGGTGAATGATCGTTCTGCACATGATAGAATATACACTTGTTTTCGTTCTATTGATATGCATCTGTTATTTGTTTTCTTACTTGCCTAAGTAATTTTTGTTGCCTAAAAATGTCCTTATACTCCGGTCTCGGAGTCAATTGTTCATACTCATGATTTTAAGGTGCAACTTGTCTTGGCTGCCCTTGCTGTCTTGCCGGTTCCATTCGTCTGAACTGCTCGTATTGTTCTACTGGTATAGTGTATACCGGTGGAATCTACGGAGTTTGTTGATGTGCCGACATCATCTTTCGTAATAAGGTCAATTTTTTGAATTTACTTGTCAAAGCAAATTTTACAATAGCATATGCCAATATGAGGGCGACTACCACAATACACATGATTAATGTAATATCTCGCCA